AGTTAGGCCTGTCGCAATAATCAATATATCGACTTATCGCGCAATATATGTACATGACCTCAATAATTTTTGGTGACGCAATATATCGCCCATTTACTTAAAAATTAATGTCACCATGTTTTGTACATTCCACTTGTGCCTGTGTCTTTTGCAGCTTCTCGAACATAACTTGGTGTAGTCATAAGGAGCTAGTTCAAATTAAAAAAAAACTTCTACAAAAAAAGTTTAATCTGCAGATATGGCCTTGTTTAGGGATCTGTGCCTTTGTGCATACGGACATCTGACTGCTAAGTAGTGGTTGTGTTTTTCAGCAATAGTGTGCACCCTTCATTTCAGGTCAGGGAAAAATCTGTAGATGAAAAAATCTCCATACAAGTTCTTTGTGCCTTTTTTCTTTTTTTCTACTTGTTACTTTGCACTTTTTGTTAGAAAATGTTTATTTACCATTTATTCAGGTTTTTTAAGGTATCTAATATTTTGATACTTAATTTCCATGATCTAAATATTCTTAAAAATGTCCAGCCGGAGCGACGAGGCATAAACATTAAAACCCATTACAAACGAGGCATTTGTTGCATCCAGTGGGGACATAATTACGGATTATAATGATTTATACTGTCTTTTTACGCGTTGCGTTGCCGGCCGGAGCATAACATAAAACCATGTCTGCATTTGTGATCGGAGAAATGACAAACAACAAGCGCTACTCTACACTGCTCAAAACTCGCGTTTGAATCGTCAGTGGCAAATTCTTTAAATATAAAAAACGTACTTACAGTCTGTGAGTCAGAACAGCCGGCATTGTAGTCTACTCTCCCAGGATCAGGAAACAGTCCTCCATAAACAGTGTTGTAAATACAACTTAACCACTGATTTCTAGTCGTATCCTCTTTTGGAAGACCAAACAAAGTAGTTCCGCTTTCACAACGAAACACAGCGTCACACACGGCGGGTTTGAGTGAGCGAAGGCCAGAGGCCTAGAGTGAGCGGAGGCGGGCTTGAGTGAGTGGCGGCGGGCGGACTTGCGGCAACCACATGTGACGACCCCGGGCTGGACTCCGCTTTGGTCACTGAGGGAATACATCAACTTTCACCGTGGACGAAGCGGAGTTCAGCCCAGGGTCGTCACATGTGGTTGCCGCTCATTCGTCGGATCCGCGCAAATCTTCCCACATCGTGACGTAGACATGTGGGGGCGTGTTAGAACGAGCCGTTTTAGGTAGGCGTGGTTGACTCTTAACTTTTATAAAGAATATCTCTTTGGATTTGAGACTTTAGTCTTTGCAACTTTACAGATCTTCTTTATGCACCAAGAGCTTGTAACACTTCAATGAGAAAGAAAAAATTGAAATCGCATCATATGACCCCTTTAATGTGATTTTGTTCACTTGAACAAAATGCTTTCTATTCATGATTGCATGATCAAATATTTTGAATCCTGTGGTTTCCAGTAGTTGCTGTTGGCAGAGAGACTTTATGAAGCCACTGTTTGTGAACATGACTTGTAACCAGCATTATGCATTTGTAAACCTGAATCGCCCAATGAAAATACTTAATTGCTGGATGTTGATGGACATTAAATGCTACAGGGAGAGTAGACTATAATAGTTGCACATTGCTTTCTTATGTCTCAGTTATGTTAATAGTTAATAGTTAGTTTGGTGCTTGCCTACTATTTGTTATTATACGTTGTATATAGAACGCCGTCCCTGTGGGCTAGGATTTATGGGCTATTTAGTGATGCATCATTTCAGAGGGTAACCACATAAGCATGATTCTGCTAGAAAATCAACCATGTCGCCCAAAGATAGCTTCCTTGTTTTGGTTACAGTTACTATCAGCCAAACACCGGGCTACACTTCTATTTTTACAACCAATTTCTGATCAAAATTGCAGTTATAGAATTTTTTTTAAAAAGTTCACCCCCTTCATTGTATGGAAAAAAACAAACAATGAAAGTAAATGGTGACTGGGGGGGGTTATCATCTCCTTCTGTGTTCCACTAAAGAAAGTAAGTAATGGTTAGGAGCAACATGAGGATGAGGGTGTATAAATTGTGTAGATTTGCCAAGGTCCTGTTTTGTGATAAATCTCTACTGCCCTCTTGTGGGCACGCTGTGAAGGGTTGCGCAGAATATGGTCATTCGTCTCATAATAATTTTTGGAAGTATTATAACAATAATTATAATACTTAAAATGCCAATACTCAAGTCACTTATACTTAATACTTACAAGTGTCACGTGACATCATAATACCCCCTCCCCCTTATTATTCGTCCAGAAATATTTTAGATTCTTTGATATCACAGTTACAAAAATGCATAAGGATAACATAAAGATGTTGAATATGAAGATGCTTTTAAAGAATGTCCCTCTAGATAAGAATGAAATACAAGATACGACGCAAAAAAGGAAAAAGAAACGCACGTTCGTGTCTATTTAGAAGAATTGTTTTTATGGTTTATATAAATATTTAATATACTTTGAGATCATAGTTTAAAGAGCTTAAAAGACAAGATGTTTAAGAATATTTAATTTTTTCATTTCAAGTATGTACCACTTGTTAATAATAAAATACAAAATAAGACGCAAAGAAGAATATGAGAAATGCACATATAATTTTCTCTTCAGAACAGTTCTTTTCAATTATTTATATGTTTTAGATACTTTTAGATAACAGTCGAAAGTTAAAAAAAAAAGATGTTTAGCAATATTTTATAAAGAATATGACAGTAAAAAACCAGAAGTTATTTTCACTAACTTCAATAAATTCATTTTGTAGAGAATTTTAGATTTCCCGTGTTTTAAAATACTTACGTGCGTAATTTTAACTGCTATTTTTTTAAATATTTTTTTGTAAATGTACATCTAACGTAACGCAGAGCGCGCGGAGGATTTCCTGTGTTTGGCGCGGAAGGATCTGTGCGCGCTGTTGAATTTGTGGAGATTTCCTGTGGAGGCGGAGTGATACGTGAGTCGTGCGTCTCTAAACGCTTTCAATGCGAGTCAATGTGAATTCTGCACCTCTGGACGAAACATGGCGACGTCGCTGCATGATGGACCCGCTAACCAGCTCGATCTGCTTATCCGAGCAGGTAAAAAGACCACAGCGCTTGCTCATCCTCGCCAGCGTGGCTTTGTTTGGGGCGCAGCAGAGCGGTGCTCGCGCCGCAGCGCTGAGATCCGTGAAGTTGTGCTGTAAAGTTAATGGAGGGCATTTCAGGAAGTGATCACCTTGGTTGGCAACCTGCATGGCGTTGCCTAATTTTCTTATCTGCTTTCTTAGAGTGCTGAAAAGTAGCGTGAAGGCGTGTGTGTTGTGTTATGCGTGAGCAGCGTGCACAGTGTTGAGTTTGCACGGCGCTGAGGGCGTTTTAAATGTGGACCGTGTTAGAATAACGGGTTTCTCTGGAGGTGGTGCGCTGCTCTGAAACCAGGAAGTGGGAGAGATGTTGTCTTTCCTACGTCTTTGCCACGCTGTCTGGAGTCGGAAGGACACTGAGTTTTATTTTTAACTCTGAAATACAGCTTTCTAAAATGTGAATTTTAGTTAATCTATTGAGTGCATTTTATCTGTAATAAAATAACGCCTGAGATCATTACGTTTAACGATTGATTTATTTTGATGCCTCATCGTCAAAGGAAATGTGGCATATCGGATGAAAAAACACACGCGGAGCAACTATATTATAACCGCATTTTTATTCATTAATAGTGTTAAAATGTATGTCGAAAACATTGAGTTTGAGTAATAAAATCCATGTTTGCTTCATGTCGCAGATGTCCCGTTATCTAAACGTGGTCGCACTGCTTTCTGCACATTTCAGCGCTCAATGTTAAGCTCAGTGTGTAACGTTTATCGCTTAATTATTCCTTTAAACGTAACTTTGTCTTTTATGACCTGAAATGTGTTGCTGTAAAAGTGTCGAGTGACTTTTTTTTTTTCCTGTGAATGTAGATTTTAGAGCTAATTTGATGGCGGAAGCATTGTTATTCCACTGGGCTGTCTAAATTTTGAGTGACAGCGCTTGTTGTCCAATAGTATTGGCGTCGCGTTCGAAATCCTACACCTGACCAATCGTCTTGCCTTTTTCTTGGGGCGTTGACCAGAGAAGAGGCCAATCAGATTCGGGGCGGGGATTGAGTGGCAGGAAGCTCGGAGAACGTCTTTAGAAAGAACTGGAGGGAAAGCTCTGACGACTCTGTAAACACGGAAGTGAGGAGGGACAGCACTACTTTCTAGTGGACCGCTATTTTAGTGACAGAAAAATAGTACCACAATGTTAAGTCTTCTGTACTGGTGGTTTACGATTTGCTGAATTATTGATAATAATAATGTATTTATTATTATATGAACAGCAACAATGACGTGATTAGATATTTAGCAGCTGTTGTAGTGTTTTATGAATATATATGTGAATGTTCATTACTTGTTCTTATTGGCAGAAGGTTTTTTATTTATTTTAATTAATTTATTTGTTTAAAGAGCTTTTAGTATTGTTTTGACTTTTTCGAATTTTAAAATGTTATGTTTACGTTTTTACTTTAGTTTATTCTTGGATAAAAACATACTTCTGAAGCAGTTGTTTGGCCTCTTTAAGGAATATTTAAAACATAAATAAAAATAGTCAACAGTTATCATCCTCGTGTTCTTCCAAAAATGATGGTATGGAACAACATGAGGGTGAGTAAATTATGTAGTATATTTTGTGTGTAAACTATCATTTTAAATGTATATCTACGAGGACTGAACGATATAACACTTGTAGTTCAAAAGGAATGTTAGAATTTTTTTTTTCTGTTTTATAGTAATTGTTTGAAAGCAGGCCATATGCAGAGCATATATCATGTACACCATAAGCATTTTGTTTTAATATCTACACTTTCATGTGTGTCCTGTCTCCAAGGGCAGAGCTGTCTGAATACAGGAAGTAAATGCATGCCGGGTCACCCATTCTAGAGGACACTGTGTGTATGTGTTTATGACTGGGTTTGCCTAAAGATAGCCCCCGTGTGCAGCAACAGACACGCATAGCCAAACTTGGGCAGGCTCAGGTTGTAATGGGAGTTGAGTGACGGCTTGGATAGACTGGCACAGGTGCTAGTGGCTCTGGATGTTAACGTCAAAGGGAGCAGGGCTGGAGGTTCTGTCCTATATATGCATGAACTGCTTGTCTGAGATCAGCCTCTCCGCACCTGTTTCTAAATAAGTGCGTCCAAGGAAGTGACTTGTCAGTTAGCAGATGCTTTTATCCAAACTGTCTGAGAGCACATTAATTGGGCTTTGAGTAGACTGATTGCAGGTATGACACTCCTGGATCTATTTAGGTGCAAAGGCAGAATCTCAAGAAGGCTATAGTTCAGAGGTTGCACAATTTGTATTAATAGGTCCTTATGGGATTTACGTATAATGTTCTCTCATAACCATTTGTGTTGGTTATATTTAGTGAATCCTTGTTAGAGTGCTCAACTTGCATTGTCTGTCACTCATGTCATCTCTTTAACTTTTGATTATTTGCAGTGACAAAGCGACTGGAAGGCATATTTTCAGTGTTAACTCCTCTTTAACTGTAGTAGTGTTTTAAAGCTCTTAAGTACCATATTAAAGTGTCAAACACGCACTTGATTTAGTCTCCATACTAAATGGATGTCACTAAAATAATTTGTTCAACCATAAAGGTTTTACAAGAGAAAAAATATTATAAATCTATTTGATGAACTTTTTGTTTTTGATTTATAGCCATTGCTAGACCAGTTTTCTCGTCACCCATGCTTAAACATATCACTCACTCTGTGGGGTTTGATTGTGGGATTTTTTTTAATCATAATTTTTTTTAATATTATGATATTGAGTAACCATGAATGCACGTTTTCCACCCACTAGCACCCTCTATTGTCAGTTAAGTGTACAGATATTCAATTTGAAACATGAGGTTGCTTGTGTACCAGCAGTCCAGTGCATGGGGCATTTGATAATTACACTACTGTTTAAAAGTTTAGGTTATTTATAGCCATTGCTAGACCAGTTTTGATTCTCTGTGGGGTTTGATTGTGGGATTTTTTTTAATTATAATTTTTTTTAATATTATGATATTGAGTAACCATGAATGCACGTTTTCCACCCACTAGCACCCTCTATTGTCAGTTAAGTGTACAGATATTCAATTTGAAACATGAGGTTGCTTGTGTACCAGCAGTCCAGTGCATGGGGCATTTGATAATTACACTACTGTTTAAAAGTTTAGGTTGGGAAGATCAAAAAAAATAATAAACTTTTATTTAGCAATGGTGCATTCAACTGATCAAAAGTAATGCTTAATATATTTATAAGTTTACAAAAGACTTCTTTTTTTGAAAATTCATCTTTTCCTTGAGAGGAATAATTGACATTTTAAAGTACATCAAAGTTGAAAACATTTATTGTACATTGTAATAATAGTTCACACTATTACTGTTTTTACTGTATGTGTGTGTGTTCTGTCTGTTGCAGTGGAAGCATCAGTTCATGGCTCTGTACAATGCTCTGACAAAACCATTGAGGCTGCTGAAGCTCTTCTACACATGGACTCTCCCTCCAGCTTGCGTGGGGACCGGAGCCCAGGTGAGCACTGCTCTGTCACTTCTAGCTTTCACATCACAAAACAAGGCACTGTTGTAGAAAACCACACCATGGGGGAAAAGGAAGATCAAAAAAATAATAAACTTTTATTTAGCAATGGTGCATTCAACTGATCAAAAGTAACGCTTAATATATTTATAAGTTTACAAAAGACTTCTTTTTTTGAAAATTCATCTTTTCCTTGAGAGGAATAATTGACATTTTAAAGTACATCAAAGTTGAAAACATTTATTGTACATTGTAATAATAGTTCACACTATTACTGTTTTTACTGTATGTGTGTGTGTTCTGTCTGTTGCAGTGGAAGCATCAGTTCATGGCTCTGTACAATGCTCTGACAAAACCATTGAGGCTGCTGAAGCTCTTCTACACATGGACTCTCCCTCCAGCTTGCGTGGGGACCGGAGCCCAGGTGAGCACTGCTCTGTCACTTATAGCTTTCACATCACAAAACAAGGCACTGTTGTAGAAAACCACACCATGGGGGAAAACATGATTTCCAAGATTTTATTTTTCTGTTGTGTAGAGGTATTTGTGCCTCCATGTGTCAACACTTCGGAGTTCCTGCATGCTGCCATGCGACCTGATGTGCTGACAGAGACCGTGGTGGAGGTCAGCACAGAGGACTCGGAGCCCATGGAGGTGGTTACGGTTTTTCAGGAGCCTGAGATGCTGGAGATGGAACCCACCAAAAGAAGAAAATGTGAGAACATGAACATTGGCAAAGGCAATATTCAGATAATTTTTTTAGTTAAATGGGATGTCTGTGAATATATTTTGTTAACTTCATTTATATTTCTTTATATATTTCTTTAATTTTTAAAATGAAACTTTTAACTGTCGTTTGTTTAATCTTTTCAGCTGGGCGGAAACCCAAACCCCATCATATTTCAAACGGATCTCCAGACCTGGGCATCAAGAAGAAGTCTAGAGAAGGGAAAGGTATGTCTCATACATTGTGTTATATGCATGATATGCTTAATCAATGGGTGAGGAAACATCTGGGTCATATTTAACGGCAAAATCAAAAAGGAACTGTGATGTAATGTACCATAATCCAATTTTTTTCTCGTTACTTTGATGTATTTCTGTTGTACATTGTATACATCATGATAGTATTCATTATACTCAATTTTGGGTAATTTGGGTAATCAGTACTTTAGAGAGCAATAAACGTGTAATTAAAATGTATAATAAAAAATTTGTAATTGTAATGATTACACTATTGATCCCAAAAATTATACATTATACAACAATTATATATATACTGATGTTTATTTTATACATACACACACACACACACATATATACACATATATATATATATATATATATATATATATAAACATCAGTATATATAATTGTTATTATTTAACGATTATATTATTTGATGATGTGTTCTTAACAGGATTTGTGACATCCATGGCAATATTTATTTTTAAATGGAACCGATTATATTCAGTTTTTACATCTGTTGTGTTTTGCTAGAGTGTCAGTGGCTGTTTATTTGCAAGTATTAATCAGTTGAACTTTTGTGATTTATTTCTGTTTTCTTACAGGAAGTACATACCTGTGGGAGTTCCTGTTGGACCTGCTGCAGGATAAGAACACTTGTCCCAGATACATTAAGTGGACACAGAGGGAGAAGGGCATCTTCAAACTGGTGGACTCCAAAGCTGTGTCAAAGCTCTGGGGCAAACACAAGAACAAACCAGACATGAACTATGAAACCATGGGCAGAGCTCTCAGGTGAGGAGCTTGTGTGTGCAAACACCATAAGATGACTTTTTCCAACACGTTTTGCAATGCCATATTGACCAGTTGCAATTGGTATCCATAACTAGAACTACCTGTTCTAATGTTGTATTTGTCTTTGTTTCTCTCTCTCAGGTATTACTATCAGAGAGGCATCTTGGCTAAAGTAGAGGGTCAGAGGTTGGTGTACCAGTTTAAGGAAATGCCTAAAGACATTGTTGTCATCGATGACGATAAGTGTGACCCTGGTGATGATGTAATCGGAGAGAAGACCTACGAGCGCGTTCCTCCCTCATCTGACACTCTATTGGCAACTGACCTCTCCAAAACCCCTGCTATCTTGAGAGGGGGCGGAAGGACTGTGGTCCATCCGGGTTCCCCAAAAGCTAAAGCTGCGCTCACTGCAACTCCTGTTCAGCGCATTGTAACGGTCTCTGCGTCAGCTGATCCATCACAGCTGTCCCATGCCACCATTATCCCCAATGCACCCAGGTAACCAGTCTTAAATTTGTGTAAAAAAATTGATTTTTCAACTGTTATGTTTTAAAACATAATCTTGTGTCCAGGACTGTGCGGGTTGCTATGCAAGTGCCGGTCGTAATGACAAACTCCTTGGGACAGAAGATCTCCACTGTGGCCGTGCAGTCAGCGAACTCTTCACTCTTCACTACAGCGCCCACCAACACCGGCTCAGCAACCGGTGCAAACGCACCCAAAGTCCTAATCCAGACCATGCCAACAATGGTTCCTGCCACGGCTGAGAACGGTGACAAGATCACGGTCCAGCTCGCCAAGATAATCACCATCCCAGCAGCCCAGCTTACACAGTGCCAGCTACAGGCCAAACCGGGCATCAATCTGATGGGCGCCTCCCTTGCTCTCCGAGCCCTTGCGCCCATGTCTGTGGCGCCGGGGGCGCAGGTGGTCAGATTGGCAGTTCCAGCCCAGCAGAGTCCAGCTCAGGGGAAGACGCAGGTCCCCGTTTCAATCCAGACGCAAACTCAATTCCCAATCTCCGTTCAGATGGCATCTACTCCGGCATCAGTTCCAGTTCAGATCCAGATTCAACAGAGCCAGCTTTCTCCAAAAGCAATAAGCGCAGAGTCGAAACCCGACAGCACTTCGGCAGAACAGCCTGAGCAGGACAATCCCACACAGGAAGCAGCAGCAGTGGTGATCGAGGAAGGTTCAAATCCACAGACTGAAGCAGAGAGCTGAAGAGTGATGCCTTTTGTCAGTCATGAACAATAATAAATGAACTTATATTCCCCAGATACCATTCAGTCACATTCTGGGAGTACAAACTGGAGATTTGTTGACTTGTACAGTTTCGGAGTTCAATTGTGGTTTCATTTTATATGTAAAAAAAAAAAAAAATCAGGCAAAGACCACAATTCTCACATCATGTGGATTAAATCTGGATGTCCATCATTTCAATTATGAGTTATTAAAGGGACCAATGTAAAGGACACTACATTTCTCTTTTTAAAAAAAAAAATCTTAACTTTGACACTAATAACAGCTAAGCATAACACTAAGGAGTGAGTAGTTGAAGTAGTCAAGTATGTGAACCTTTGAGGGAGGATAAATTCAACTTTTTATAACTGGTATAAAGTTTTTTTTTT